GCTGCTTTCTTAATGGTATTCATTGAACAGTAACATCAAGTACTTGATGTTCAATGAAGATCATTAGTGTTTTCAATTAAACGGAAGATGTATACTCCTACAGCATGACATCCATTCATTCTTAGCAAGAAATGTACTTCTTAAATCAAAAAGGGTTGTTATAGACCTGTCTGATAACAGTCTCAACCAAAGCGAAGCACATATACACAGCATTGTACTCCAGAGAGCAGCGTCATTTGCCCTTGCTGAGCTCTCCAGACAGTGCTAAGACCTGATACAACAGTAATTTTATTAATCTGCTTGATTTCTGATATTGATTTGACATAAAAATTATCCTGCTAGCTTTAAGATCAGGGATATTTGCTTGTCATTGGAACAAGGCCAGTTCTACCCATGGAGGAACTCATGCCTTGGTGAAAGTGCATGAACTGCCCTGTGCTGGACATGCAATTCAGCCCTGCAATGTTTCTATGCAGATGTAGGTAAAAAGAGATGATCCGATCACCTTCCCCATTCTTACAAGTGGTAAAGTAGACCTGGGGGCATGAGACCACATCTTTAAGATGTTAGCTCTAGATGCATAACTACGAAATGTAAAACATTCAACTTCAACTCTTCCATGTCACATATCCCAGTGAAGAGCTCTGATACACAGAGCTAGGATTAAGGACTGTATCTGAGCCAGGGTAGAGCTAGACATGCAGTTTCTGAGGGCTCGGATTCAAGCAGAAGCAGTTGCAGCTTAGCCAGTTGCTCTGTGTCAACGAGCCAACAGCTTAGCTGTGATGCTGGATGGTGTGCAGGCTATCAGACTAGAGAACATTTAAACTACAATCTCTGTGAGAGAGACTTGATTTGTGATAAGTGATATCTGTCAGGATTCTACCAGCAATTTGTTCAATAAACACAGCAAAGATGAACAAATGAGAAGTTTCCCAAACTTCTGAAACCATGAAGCATTATAAAATGGCAAACAGATTAATAAAGTAGAATTGTAACACCAAACAGTTGGCTAGGAGATCTGTGAAAAAGCATGATCATTGACAGCTTAAATGAAATGAAATAGAAACAATATCCCTAAACTTTTTACTTCTGTTTGAAAAAAAATGGATGCTTCAATAACTTGTGGGAATACCACCATGTACTACTGTGTTGGAATAAATACAGACATATGTAGAGTTAGAGTATGAATGTTGTTTTATTAATCCACAAGGGCATCAAGGTATAACCTAAATCTCTAAGTAGAAATCTTGACCCCGCTGAACCTAACGGAATTTTTGTTAAGTACTTCACTGGGGTCAGAATTTTAGTCCACATAAATTTGCTTTTTTAGGGCACAATCCCCATGTCCATTGAAGCCAATGAAAGCTTTTCCATTGACTAACTGACCTTTCATTAGGAAAGCCATTCCCTTACAAAAGACTGTTGTCACTGCTATAGTCCTGCAGACTTTCTTCACCATTATACTTGTTACAGTCACATTCCTGAAACTGCTTTTGTCGTCTTTTATCTGAGATAGCATTAACAAGTCCTGTTTTTCAAAGTTTCTAATGGGCTCCTATGATCTGAAGCCATCAACAGCCCTCTTGATTTTTCCTGTGTGATTTTGTGCAACATTTTCTTCTTCACTTGTTTTCCTCTTTGATGTCTTTGAATAACCTGGATGAGAAGGCTGGATGTAGTGGTCTTACTTTTCCCATTTTTTTCTGATATGTTGTCAATGAATAGGCAGAGTAGCAGTTTTATTTGTGTTACTTTATACCCTTAGATCTACCATTAAATTTGGAATTCTTGCTGTTTTAATCTTTAAAAATTATTTTTTCTCCTGTAAAAACCAGTCAAGATTTCTAGCTGCATTCTGCAGTTCTCCATCAAACACAACCTTTTCAGTTTGCTGCTTTCTCAAGTCCTGCTTCTATTTTTCAGTAGGGCTTTCTAGCTGTTACCTTAGCTTCCATCTCTTCTTCAAAATATTGCATAATATTGCTTTTTTTCCTTTTCCATTGTAATCTCAAGCAATTATTTCCTATGTTGTACTGGCAAATCTCCTGCATTTTCTATTATGGGGAATTGCAGTTCTGCTGGTTTTTACCTTCTACAGACAGTGTCTGCAAGTTCCTGAATCTTGGCCCTAATTTCATTTTCACTAAACCAGGAGGATTTTCTCTTTCTAGTTTGATTTGAACTTCATTTTCTAGGTTGTACAAGTTGCTACAAAGTGTTTTGGAGTTTTGCGATTTCTTTCTCTTGGTTTTTCTACAAAGTTTTTTTTCCAAATGCTAGAAAAGTCGAGCATCTCTCTGAGCAAAGACAGGAAGCACTTCAGCTTCTGCAGGAGTTATAATGGGCAGGTACACTTCCTGAGCTATTCCCAAGTCTAAATTAAAATTGAAGATCTTTCATCCAGAGCACGAATTTGAACAACATGAAAAGACAAATGCAATGTCCTCTACCTGGTATTGACTGATTCCCTGCCATGGTGCAGGCTGGGGACTGACTGTCTGGGTTGTTGCTTTGTGGAAAAGGACCTGGGGGTCCTGGTGGACAGTATGTTAAGCAAGAATCAGAAGTAAGCTCTATGGGCTGTACTAAAAAGTGTATAGCCAATAGATCACAGAAAGTCATTATTCCCCTTCCCTCATCACTCTTTGGATCGCATCTGGAATCTAATTTCAGGCTCCCAGCACAGGAAATATATTGATAAACTTCAGTGAGCTTAGCAGAGGTCTGTCAAGATGGTCAGGGGCTGGAGTACATGCCCTGTGAGGAAAGGCTGCACGACCATACTTGTTCAGCCTGAAGAAGAGGTGGCTTCAGGGGGACTGAACAGCATATGTGCAAGGAAGTTACTGCAAAGACGGAGCCATGATCTGCACAATCAAAACAGGAAAATTCCAATTGAATAGAAGGAGAAAAAAAACACTGTGAGGATAATTAAGCCCTTATTAAGGACAATTGGAACAGGCCATACAAAAAAGTTGTGGAAAGTCTGACCTTGTAGGTTTTAAAGATTAACTAGACAAAGTGCTAAACAATTTGCTTTGAATCAGTGTTGATCCTGTTTTGAGCATGAATTGGGACTAGATGATGTCCCAGGGTCCCTTCCAAGCTGAATGATTCTATGAACATCTTGTTCCTATAAGCCAAGAGAACAACTACACATAAAAGATGTAACCAGCCTCATCTATTAAAAAAAAATTAGCCAAGCAAGAATAACCATGGTGTAGCCACACAGCCAGGTTTGGAACCCCACTGTGCTGGATGCAGCTAATGGGAGAAAGTCCCTGTGTTTATAAAGACTGCAGTCCAACCAGCTACATACAGTGAAAGCAGGAACACTAAGGTGAAAAGATTTTCTAGAAGTCATTCCTGTCTCCAGGGTCTCCTGAGTCCTAGTCCAATGCTTATGCACTGGACCACACTGCACTCGCACTGTCTGCATAGGTCTCTAAGTTTTCTGAAGATGGATGTTTCATAAAGCATATTCTATTTCAGAGAGAAGTGGTCATTCAGAAGATTAAGGTCTTTTTCAAATGGGATGTTCATCTCTGCCAGGTGGTATGTTAAGTCTGAGTCATAAATATCTTTTATTTCCTCGGTCAGATAGTGCAATGGAAGTGCAACTTGTCATTTTTGACTTCCAGTTTCAAGAGCACCAAGTAAGTTTCTGAATTTGTTGCTTCATTTCTGAGCAACTGACATATTCTTCAGGATATTAAATGCTCAAAATGTAAATGGTGCAAAATTACTTTGTTTATAATTTTGCATAGTTGATTTCCCCCCCTGCAGTGTATCTATCCCGACCTTCTAATGCCAAGCGCACTTTACCTTCTAGAAACTTCAGGGAGTATTTGAAAGCTTTAAAGAGCTTGATATTGTTTTTGGCTGCCATACATTATCATAGAAGGTGTCCCTGTTCTCCTGCTTTCCAGATGCAGTTATCCTCCTATTTTGCCTTGCAGATCGAGCAAGGTACTTTTGGACTGAAGATTTACACTGTCTTCTATTGTAGTCATATGGTTTTGTAAAAGCTATTCAAATGTGGCTGTGTTTGGGTTGCTACCCTTTTATTAGGAAATGCTAGTAGGCCATGGTGCAGGGTGACCAGAGTTATTCAAATCTGGGACTCTGAATTTAAGAGGCAGATAGTCTTTTACATTAAGAAAAACACACAAGTCAATCATAAACGCAGTCAGTCACTGAAACTTCCAAAGAATTATCTGGCTTCACTGCAGGCACAGATAAATTAGAGATTATGGGCCTAAGACTCTTTTCGTGCCAGGGTAAATCAGGAGCACCATCACTGAAGTCAACAGATCTCAACAAGAAAAGAATTAGACCCTATGGCTTTTAATAAGAGGAATACAAAGAGTTTAATTACAAGGAATCAAGCTGAACCTCCCCCCATACACAGACATATGCACGTGATCTCTAGTAAGGTTTGTCTTGTAACATTTTTGTACTTCTGTTATCCTTATCCTGATCCCTGTGTGCAAATAACAGGGACTTAAATCCTATAGGGATGGGGGCCATATAGATGTTAACACATGGGGTGGTTAAAACACCAGTAGAACTGTAGCTCAGTTCTGTATTGAAAAACCCGGTGAAATCCAAAATATGCTGCAGTTTTTGACCTCCAAGTTATGACTCAGCAATAAAAGAGAGGAGTTAATTTTCTGTACTAGGGAGGGAGTTTCTCACCTAGGCAGTACTTCTTTGAAGGAGTAAAGTAATGCACAGCACGTGCAAATGAACAGCTGCTGGAAACTCTGGTAATACAAATATAATTTTTTATTTCCACATATGTGAACAATCTTATATGTCTATAGAAAAACCTGAAAATAAGTGATACAAGAAGTTATATTTGAGCCACCCTCTGTGAAACTCTATGACAAAAAAAGCAGGTGCAAGATGAAGACCCCAGTCATGGAATATAAATAATAGTTTAGGAACAATCAAGTGTGGTACCTGATTATTTTGACAAAAATGGAAGTACTTACAGTCCAAGTGACTATGTCTGATGCCTTCCACATCTTCAGCGTGAATGAAGTGGTAACATCTCTTTCCTACGATATCTACAGGGGTCAGATCCATGTAATCACTAATCCTAAACAGGAAAAAAATACAGCCTATAATTCAATAAGGAAAAGAATACAAGAAGTGTCAAATGACTCAGAAAGTAAAATCTGCTAAAAAGTTTTTTCACCGCTGTAGTAATTTGAGTGGAATATCTGTACAAACAAGACACATCCTTAAATAAAAAAAAAGAAATAAAACTTTTTTTAAAGAAACCTTGAAAACATTTTATCCATTTGAATAAGTGGAAAGAAATTCTACTGCATATTCTCCCTGTAGCGTAACACCAAGACAATGTGGCTCTGTGTAATTGTAAAGCATTAGCAACAATCCAAAATTGGCATTAAAAGACCAAGATGATTCAAGGTTACATAATAAAGTAAAAACTTGTTATGTTTATACCAAATGATTAGAGACACATTTCATTTCAACAGATTGGTCTTCTATTGGGTATATTCATGAAGAAGCTCTTCCGCCATTTCTTGGCACCAAGTCCAAACTGATATTTCAAGGGATATAATTTAAATGCTGAGACATACAGATGCCTCAGGGTGTTATCTTTTTTAGTCTAATTCATTTGGGAGCTCAGCTTTCACTCTGGGCCCTTTCAACTGGGACTTTGTTGTTTATTGCACATAGAAACTTTCAAATCTATTCTGCAGACCTTTGTCTGTGTGTGCCTCTGTGTGTGTATCTGTGTGCTTGTGTCTGTGTGCATGTGTAAACTTCTGTCATGGAACGTCAAGATGTCAGTGTCCTTAAACGCAGTACAGAAAATAACAAAACAATTGGAAAATGCCTCGCTTAGACAAGCATTTGAAAGTATGTCTGTTTTCCAGAAACAGAAAAACTTTTTAGGTTTGAAATATGCTGTAATGATCAGGGTTAAACCCACTTTGCCATTTTAAGATATAATTGCCATCCATTTAAGAGAGTTGTAAGAAACACCAATCATCTTGATATAACCAGATAGCTGAAACAATTGGGAGTGTGATCCTGAGGGAAGCCAGCGGGGAGGCTAAACCAGAAACCGAACTGCGTACGACTGGGGTGTTCACAGCAGGCAGAGGGGGTGAACACAGCCACCGAGGCACTGACTAGCAGAGCTATGTTTGCCTGGCTGTCTGAGGCAGGGGGAACGCACAGAGCAGAAAGACTGCAGGAGAATGGAAGCATTAGACAGCACCACAGCAGCACTGGTGGTTTATCCCAATTAAATAAAGATCAAACACTAAAAACATCACTGGTAAAGCAGGTGGACTCAAATTTGCTAGTAAAAATTGTCAAATCAAGTTTAGCATAAAACACAATAGCCTTCTCCCACTTTTTTGACAGACCATGTTGAAGAACATGCACTTTCAAACAACTGTCTAGGAATTCCAGCACTTAACCAAATGTGGGATACCTGTCTGGCGACACCCATCAAATGTTTGTCACAAACCACAGTTGAAAAGCATCTCTCCTACCTTCTCAGAGAGGACACAATTAACCAGGACAAAGACAAGTCTGGAGTGGTGGTAGTGGGACTCCCTATCCCTCCTGCTGTGTTCCTCCACTTTCGTTGCACAGTGAATTAGGAGCTGGGAAACAAAAGACCTGGGATCTCTGCCTAGTGATAAGAAACCTCACTAGAAGGAAGGGAGTCAGATTTAAAGGTTCCAGTCTCCTGAACTGTACGTTACCTTTTTCTACTAAACTAAGTGTATAAATAGCCCATACAGCAGGAACTGGGACTCAAGTCTCTCACCCTCCCATGCCTACAGTCTTCTCACTGACATGCTTTGCTGTCTCTTCTCTGGCCCAAGAATTGTGTGTTTACTGGTAGGAGGAGGCTCTGCTTCAAGATCAGGGAGAAGCAATCTGCCCTGCCTAGCCGAGTAGAAAGGGGCAACCTCCAGGCAGGCCACTGCCCTGTGACGTCCCCAGGCTGAGTGCTACAGTTCGCAGGGTTAACACAGAAGATGATCATTCTGCTTCCCCCTCCAGTAAATTTGACTCAGCTGTATTTTGTTTCTCTGTAGCAGCATGTTTGTGTAAAGTCTTCACAGAAAAATGAACACAGCAAGGCAACTGTGGAAGCAGATTCACAATCCCTTAAGTATAAGGACAATATTAAGAAAAAGCCGTTTCAAACAGACATATGAAGGATATAGGATTTTTTTTTGATGAAAAAAGTAGAAGAAGAAAGAATATCCAGATCTAAGTGATGATCACTGGCAAGCAATGACACCAAAATCAGAAGCAAAAGAAATTACATCAGATAGGACACTCATGCTTATATCTAAGGTACCAAAGATGGAAAATAAATAATTTTCATGGAGAAAAGAAATAAACAATATAGCATATCTTAAAACACTAGTTAGGAGACGGATCTTGTGGCTCCCAAACCCTTTGACAAAATAAAGCAACATGTTGATGGGTAGGAACTCGATTCTGCTGAATACACAGACCTGATCCTGTAAAACATAAGCACAGGCTTACGTTTGAGCAAATCAGTGGTTCCACTGACTTTCAGGACTGTTAACATGACTGAAATTTAAAGGTAGGTACATGGTACAGTGCTTTGCTGAATTAGGACCAAATTATGCACGCATTTGTAGGCTTTAAGCTCTCTACAAAACACTGCTTCTGCATATCTCAAGGAATTATTGGCAACCACTGTCATGGCCAACAGGTCAAACCTCTTGCATTTGGAAAACACCATGTTTACTGGGTTATTTCCTTCAGGGCATATATTACCAGATACAGCTATAACAGTCCACATTAAACTGGGCTGTAGGCTCTCTCCAGACGGCCTCCAATCACTAGCAGTTGACACTGAAAATACACAGACTGATGCTGTACTCTAGCAGCAGTCACTATTTTGCTTTTAGTTATTTATCACGGCCTAAGATGATTTGTCCTCTGCAGATGCTTTTCTTACTCCACTGACTAATAAAGAAATTCTAGACTATTTTACACTAGATGGTGAAGTTTAGATGACAAGAATCCCACATCTGGAAAACAGACATGGAATAACATACCACATTTTAGGCAATAGAATTTTACATCCCCATTTAAGAGTCTCGGAAAAAGTATTAATTATTAGAAGTAGCCCGTGCACTAGCTAACAGACCTTGCCTCAAAGAGAAGCTACCTGTTGACTAGTTTGTGCACTGAGTCCAGGATTCTGATGAAGATCTCTTCATTCAGAGGAAAGTAACAAGATGCACCCAGAGACTTGAGTAATGTCACTCCTGCTCCCTGCTGTTGCAGCAGGCAACCACTTGGAAAACTAGGAGTACTATTGATCTCACCCCTGCTGATCCAATGGTCCGCTGTGAGCATTCATTTCAGTTAAGTAGCATGGCTTCTGCTCCATACTCCCTGCAGCTGCCAGTAACTCCCCATTGCTCCATAAATAGTGCTTACAGCTTCCCCAGCATGGATCCATTTTTCTCTGTTTTCATCAATGCTGTGCTTGCTTTACTGTGGCACCACAAAGAATTTCCTCTCTGTCCGCAAGTGCCAGGAGTCAAGCCCGTATATTCAGGATGGGATACTTCTCTTCTTTTCTATAGTCTCAGAAGAGAGATCCCAACTTGCCTGACTTGGATAATGGCCATCTGACAGCTTCAATCAGCTGCTTAGTTAACTCCTTCCCTTCTTCCGTCTTTTCAATTCCTCCAGCTTTTACAGTCATACTCTGTTTTGCACCTGCTATGAAATCCGGGTCCTATCAATCTCATTCCATTTGCCATCAGTGGAAATGCCGCTGCCTTAGTGAGGTAACATTCACCTCCCAGCCCCAGTAGAAGTGTTTCTACTATTTGAAATTCCTTTTGTAAACTATTTTTAACACTGACTTAGGGGCTTAAAATGGAACCATTGCAACATAAATTCAAGTACCATCATAGGTGTTCTACCCTAGCATATGAGATAAAATCCATCACAAACGAGGAAAAGTTGCTGTGTAATGTTGCCTTTACCTTAATGAATGAAAAACATTAGTAAGCTCAACGCTTTCTTGCATAAGTCAGCTGGCTTACCATAGTTTACCATGTGTTATCTGCTCTTTGTGATTACCAATCAGCGCTCCATGTCTGATGCATTTTATTTTTCTCAGTGATGCCTTTCTCAGGCATTTCAAAGTTTTACTGCTACATGAATATAAAGTGAAGGTTTGAGAAAAATGTTTAATCAAAAAAAAAATACACAATTTAGGGCTCATAAAAATGCCAAACTAATGGCAAAGAAAGTAAAAATCTTTCTGACATGGCCTTCAAATTCATATCATATTTGACCTGACGGAATAGTTCATTTTCACATGCGTTTGATTCCTGGCTTTTTTGTTGAGGTTGCCAACAAAGGTAGCAGTAAGTGTAGGTGACTTTGTTAAAAGGAACTCTGTTCATTAGGAACTGGACAGGTACCAGCAACTCACTTCACAGAGGCCATTGAAGAGCTCTGCAGTGGTAGAAGCTTTCCATTACTACCTAGGTAGGTCACAGCCAAAGACTAAGGCAAAACATTTCTTCTAGGTCCTAATGCTAATCCCCAGAGCTCTTTCACCAGCTGCCAGTTTATACAGAATCTCGGTGGGCAGAGCCACAAGCAAAAACTCAGCCCAAACTTTAATACTGTTACCAGCTTTCTCTGTGACCTTGTGCAAGCCACTTTCTACAAAGCAATTTTTCCAAGCCTAAAAATGATAATAATATATTCTCTTTTAGATAATGCTTTGGAAGTTTAGATGAAGTGTTCTCTCTAATAGCCAAGTAATGTTATTGTTAATCCTGCTGTGGCAGTTCAGCAACATGACAGCAAAGATATTCGAGACCAGGTTGGACAGGGCTCTGAGCAACCTGATCTAGTTAGTGGTGTCCCTGCTCGCTGCGGGGGGGTTGGACTAGATGACCTCTAGGGGTCCCTTCCAACCCAAAACTTTCTATGATTCTATGATTATTTTAAAAGAAGGCCCTGACTAAAAAGAGCATTTGAGTTTATCCCTTTTTATAAAAGTTTATATTGATGTGCTATCCTGTTCATATGTCTTCCATTATGACTAAACAATTACAATTGCTTGTATCAGAGCGCTTCCACTCTCAATTTATAATATGCCATGGCTGCTGTCACATGAAAATCTTGCATTAGTCATCTTGTTTGTTCCACTTTTTCATGATGGGTCCCCTTGACAAAATTTCTTTTGGTTGCATTACCTTCTTTCTTCCTTTCCAATCTTTCCCCCATACCTCAGACTTCCACCAAAGGACCCAAACTTCTTTATTACTTGTATCTTCCTTCTTATGTATCGTCATTCTGCTCTAAATAGCCCTTCCCTAGATTTTTATTTTTCAGGGTCCTGAGGGCAACAATAAGCCTTAAGGGTCTTGACCAGCCCCTCCCAGGGCTCCACGTCAGCCTCCCGGGGGCACGCCCCCCCCCCCCCCCCGCCCACAGCCCAGCGGCCCCCGTCA